TTAATTTAATTTTTTATTAAAATTAATAAAAATTTTATATAATGAATTATTTTAAAATATTTTATAAATTTATAAATTTATAAATTATTTTAAAAAAATTAACCTTATAAACTAAAATAAAATTAGGGTAATATTTAATAAACTAATCATTAAAACACAGCTTACTTGTCCCCAGACGTTAGACAACAGAAATGCGGCTACGGTTCCATTCAGCCAACGCCCACTGTTTTACAATGCCGTCAGTTATTTGAGATGTGTCTATATATGTCACCCTTCCTTATGTAGAAATTTCATCTTCTTCCCCACAAGTCACTCTTTGCCCATCTCTTTGAACATCCATTCTAACAAATTGCAATCTCTTTCTTATCCTCAGAAATCCAAGATCAGCAAGCTTCATTCATCCGTTCTCTCATTTTCATCTGTTTCAGTTTCTGGTAATCTCTCTCTCTCTCTCTCTCTCTCTCTCATTCTTTCTGTTTTCCATTTTGATTATTTGATGGGTGTTTTTGGTTTCAATTTTGTATTATTGCTCGATTCTATATCTGGGTTTTTAGAGCAATTCTATATCTGGGTTTTTAGACTTTGTTAGAGATATAATGATTTAGAGGTCATTTTTAGTCTGGTTTGGGTTCAGTAATGGATCTTTGATGGCTTCTTTGTTAGCTAGGTAATGATTTAGAGGTTTTTTATTTTGATTTTTGGATTTTTTTCTTTGATCTTGGAAAAAGTTCATTGCTTTGCGTGTTTTGAAAGAGAAATGTATGAGGATTCGATTGAAACTTGAAAGGGTTGTTTCTGTAAATCCTGTTCTTTATGATTGAGGATCGTTGCTTGAAATTAATTGACCCTTTAAAAGGAAAGTTGTCAAATTTTTTAGAAGACAAGTGTCATTTTCACATTTGTTTCCAACTTATTGTAATTCAATTCAATTAGAACAATCTGGCTACATAACTGAATGGCGGTAAGGTTTATGCTGTTCAGAATGGAAAATGATGTTGGGGTTGTGAAACTTAGTTGTTTAATCTAGCTATTAAAATTTGTCTATAGATAGTCTGTTTTTTTTCAAAATAGTATAAATGATTTAGGACTTGAACTGTGACCTTGTTTTTCCCTCAGGAGATGAATCGTGCTTTACACAGAGTATGCAGGGGTATTGTGAACAAAATTCCATATTTCATGAACTTTGATGAACTAGTACTCACTGTCGAACATCTCCTAGTTTGGAAAACATCTTTGGTAGCCTTTTGGTGAAGATAATCACTCATAGGTTAAGAACAGTATAAACTATAAAGGGCTTACCATGACTGTCATTGTTTTGAAGCCAGTGTGCTCTGTGGACTATGTTTTTTAACTGTTGCCCTTTGTTCACTCAACTGAATGGTATTCTTTTATCTCTTTCCAAAAAGGATGGAGCCTTTTGTTCTTATTTATCTGGCTTGATGCTTGTGTGTCTAATTGCTTGGTTTAAGAAGGTATTAAATTATTGCTTGTTCAAACTTGCATTAAGGAAAAATTTTTGCTAGTAGCAACATTGCATGTACATATTGTTTTACTCTAGCAAACTCTTTGCTCTTGTAATTGGTGGAAATATCAGCATGATCTCTCTCTCTAAGGAGACAAGCATATGTGTGTGCTTTTATGTGTATGTGCCTCTTTACATGTATCAGTGTGCTTACTCTACCAATCTAAGCTAAGAATGTTTGATATTTGCAACAGAGCGACTATGGAGCAAAACTTCTTTGAGTCAGGGGCAACCTTGGAATCTGATGGAGATTTATCTCTCAAGCAGAAATGGGGTCCTATCGCAGCTCCAAAAAGAGATCCAGAAATGAACAGTGGCAGCTTCCAATGCAATATTTGCTTAGATTCAGCTCGAGACCCCGTAGTCACTCTCTGTGGTCATCTGTACTGCTGGCCATGCATTTACAAGTGGCTTCATGTCCAATCCTCCTCTCTCAAGGAAGACCAACAACAGCAAAACTGCCCTGTTTGCAAGACAGACATCTCTCCTAGTTTGTTGGTCCCCCTTTATGGCCCTGGCACATCCTCAGAATCTGAATCCAAGACGGCCCAGTTGGATGTGGTTATACCCCCTAGACCACAACCTTCTGGATTGATTACCTCTACCTCACATCCAAGTCAACGACTTCATGGAAGTGTTTTCCGCTCTCAGTCTCAGTCATTTCATCACCAACAATACTTCCCTCATACACATAGAGGCTATGCAGCCATGGCATCATCTAATCTTGGTAGTACTCAAATGACAAATTTCTTCAATCCAACAATTGGGATGTTTGGGGAGATGGTTTATGCCAGGTTCTTCGGGAGCCCAGGGACAAGTTTGTTTGCTTATCCTGACCAAAATTCCTACCCTTTTTTGGTGAATAACAGTATTAGGATGCGAAGGCAGGAAATGCAACTTGACAAGTCTCTAAATAGAGTATGCATCTTTCTTTTCTGTTGCATCTTCCTCTGCCTTCTCCTGTTTTGATGGCTTTAGTTTCTAGCTCTTAACAGTTAGAGTCAAGCCATGAACGTGCAGTATATATAGATGGTAATAGCATTAGCAAAACCTGGAACTCACCTCCCAGGTTTCTCACGGAAATTTTTGTGTATGTATATAGGATCATTATTTTTTTTAATGCAAACTGGAAGTTAGTATTTGTATGTATATTTTGCAATCTTATGTAAATGAATTAGCATTTATCTCTCTCTGTCTATACTCTATATGACTTCTCTTCAATCTTGAGGTTGTTAGCTGCTCTAGAAATGAACTGCCTGCAAAATTTTGCTAGATGCAGTCACTTTGGCTTTAGAGAATTTTTTTTATAATTATTTTATACAACTTTATATATCATTTAATGATTAATTCTTTTTACTTTACTAAAACTCATAATATTATAAATATTTACTTATTTAATAACATATAAAATTACAAAAACGTTACCCATGTATCATTATGTTATCAATATCATATCCATACTTCAGAACTCTGTGTGTTAATGACAGTTACAGACTCTGCGCATGGTAGGAATAACTTATAATCATAGCACACCTTAATGATAAAACATGGAATAAATTGACAGCAGCCAAAATAGTTTCTATTAGCTGTCCTGCATCAACTTTGTATTGAGAAGCTTCATGTTTCACATTCTGTGGCTTCCCCCACAGAAACAGATCTCATATGTATATGCACCTCCAAAGTCATCCAAAGTCATTCGTCTTTATTGAACTATGTATTGGTATAGCAATTAAAGGACAGGCTAAAGTCAT